TTAAAGAAGAAGACAACCAAGTGGTATTTACTGCAATGTCAGTGTCAAGAAACTAACAGCTTGATCCAGCTCCCATCAAAATTAATGGAAAAACTCACACACTTTCAGGGGGTGTTGGTTTAGACTTGTAGTGGACAGGTTTTTTGCTCAGGAGCCATCTTATTCCCAACCAGGTGTCTTACAGTCTGAGAGGTGCAACCACGTCTGCACACCACTGCCCCTGACCCAATAAATCTGGCTTGTTTTGAAAGCCAGATCCAATACCTGGGCCACAAGTGAAGTCATCCTTAGGAACAGAGCAATCAAAAATTGTAAAGCTCCTAAAAAGAATACTTTTTTCTGGATTAGCCACTTGGCTACATTGTGTGTATTGCATTTCCATCTTTCTTGTCATATGAAAGTGAACATTCTTTATTGCTTATGTTGGGAAGTATCTTGTAGTACATATACAGGGTAAGAAATCTGGCTGAATTAGCATTACAAAATAAACTTTAATATTGATAGATTTCCAAGGTTGCTTTTCTGGTTGATGATTATTTATTTTTTTACTTTTGGTGGATGGCAGTACTGTTTTTTACACACAGTCTCTTTCTTTCAGCTGAGTGTACTTTATATGCTGTAAAACATGTTTGCCTTTTTATCCTTTTTAATGTATTCTGTTTTCCCCAGTCCTGTAGTAGCTATTTGGTTGGATGTTTATTTCATGTAGCAGAAAATACCTACCACAGAAATGCAAAGGCAGCCTGACAGCAAGCTTCTCTTTGGGCATGTTGACATCATCCTCCTCTCTGAGCTCTAATTCAACTTTCAACACAATGCCTAAAACCGCAGAGCCTCTGGGCACAAAAGATGAACATGAGAATACACTTGTGCATTCTGTTGCCCTGTAAGCAAATTGCCTTGTTAATGAGGAATCAGTCAAATAATGGGTTTGGTAGTCTGGGTTTAGATTAGCTAAGATAAAGTGTGAAAGTGTTTTTTGGTATATCACAGGCAGCAGCACATCCTGTTCAGCGTTCTGGGCTATGAAAGTCATTGAGTAATTTTTCAACCTCTCTTAAAAGAAAAGACAAGACACAGCTATTTCATGTGTAATAACTACTTTTTGAAAAAAACGAGGAAGCTAGGATTTTTTAACTTCACTGATAGGCCAAACCAGGCCTGCACTTTACAAAATGCATATATACCTCATAAAAGATAACTCCCACTTTCAGCTGTCTGGTTGTATTTACATGGATTGTACCTGGAAGGAGGAGAGGAGAATGCCACTGCTTTCATGTAATAAAGAAAAGAAACTCTGTGAGTATGTACATACAACCAACATTTGTGGGGTGAACATTGCTTCCCCTGCTCATGATGCAATAAATCATGATAAGCACACGCACAGAGAAGCCCTGCAGACTAGATAATGTACTGTGAATTGCTGCTCCATGCTATCCTGTTCATGTACTTATACATGTAATGAATTGTATCTCAACTCTCTTCCAATAAAGAGAATGCTCCAAGCTGGTTGCTGTCTGAGCTCTGCATTTCAGCAGCTGGAAGTTGATGGAAGAGAGGAGGGAAAAGGCATCCATATTTCTATAGTTTTCCAGGCTAAATAGCTTGGATGAGAGAAGAGGGTAGCATAACTGAATCACTCAGACAATCTGATCTTTCAGCTAGTGGTGTTGGGAGGTTAAAATAATTTTACAAATAAACAGTTAAAAAAAGGCAGGCGGTAGCTTATATGTTTGACAGGAAGGCTGTAATTATGCTCTGCTCTGTACCACATGAAATACTAAACTATGGAAATTTTGCATTATCTGTCCTTCTTTTGTAGAACTAGTACATTCTCTTCTTATCATAATGTCCCATCTGGTACATTATTCAAATTCAAGCCAAAGTATTCTAACACTTGAGATATCACATAAACAAAAACAATGTGAAGAAGCTCACAATAAACATATCACAAAAACCTGCTTCTTGGCCTTCTAAAATCTTGCTTGCTCTGCTTTGATGTGGCAAAGAGCCCATCAAACCTGCTTGACCAGCTTCCTCACAGGGACACAATCTGAAGGTAGACCATGTCTTCCACAGGTAGCTCTTTGTCATCCTCAGCACATTTTCTGTAGTGGTGGATGCGTCAGGGCACAGTGATGGGACTCATGTTTCTCTGGTCCAGCAATCAGCCAATGCTGTTCTATCAGCTAGGCATAAGAGAATTGCCTATGTTGTAGACCCACAGTCTGTTTTACAGTGCTTTTGAATTTCCTTCGTTCTGACAGAAGAATAGTTCAGTGTTGGCACACATGGTGAGTCAGCTTCAGGGCTGTTATAACCTGTAATAGTTGGTGACAGCGTCCAAGACACTGGTATGTCAGGCCAAAGACAGCTGGTTGGCAGCAATCCTCACTCTTTCACTGACTTTGCCTGCTCTGTAGTTATGACATGGACAGCAGAAAGAGGTTTGAAAACCTCTGTGTGAGACACATGAAATGTGTGCCTGCAGTGGACTTTGTATTTAACAGAAACATGCATATAATCACCAGATTTTTATTCCACAGCGACAGGACAGGAAAAGCATCTCTCTCATCTTAGCTGTTAAGGATAATTTGTTTTAAATAGACTAAGTAAAAACCCTAATCATCTTCTCTGTCTTTTAGAAGTGGTTAGTTTCTTTAATGCAGTTGACTTCAGAGATTCATCACTGCATGTACTGTAATTGCAATGAGAAGTATGCTGCTCTCAAGATTGAGTCTAAGCAGAACTCCCCTTCGATAAACTAATCTTTCTAAAATCCACTGTGCTTTGTGTTTAACAGAGCCAGCAGCTAGCTATTAGTTATTTTACATATATATACATTTATATTTTGTTCTCTTTTCTATAGAGTACAGCATGCTGAAAAGTAGGAATGGGGCACCTCAACAGATATTTGTTATGGCTGTATTCTTCCTTTCACCAGCAACACAAACCACACAATCCTTACAGCAATCAGCAAGAAACACATCAGGTTAAATCCCTCATTTCTTTAGCATAATATGAAGTCTGTCTTTCTCTCGTATTACCATTCTGGCCAGTCAGGTATGTGAGGTTTTTCTAGGCAACAGGTGTTTTTTGAAATAAAATACAACCTTCCCCTTCAGCTCATTATGTGAAAGAGGCAGCAGCTGCAAGTATAATGCTGAGGACACATGGTCTATAAGACACCCAGAAGAAAAATATTCCTTGTTCCACTTGTTAAGGTAAAGCACAGATGTTGCTTCAGTGATAAGCATGAGCATAAGGCAACCAGTCTGCTTCATGTTGTAAACTCAGAAGCTAGGATTTCAGAATATTGAGAAGGCTGCTATCAGAATCACTGGTTTCTTTATGAAAGGAAAAGTTGTTCATGTCTAAGCTCATAGTCCTAGCAAATACTCCTTATCACAGTTTGCATTACACTGTCATCAACAATATGGTAGGGACTATCCACAGACTTGGCAGATAACAATCTTTTATATCGACTCAGTTGTGAGTATCAAATAGTGGCAAATGCATAAATTAATACACTGATTTAAACATTTACAGATAGTGTATATTAAAAAGGTTTCAGTCATTTAGAATGTTAAATGCAACTTTTGTCCCTGCTTACTGTTGGTACTAAGGCTATTTCTGTATCTCTCAGATCTAGACTGTTGAGAAATCAACTGCAAAACAATGGTGTCTAATGAATATAATGACCAAAGCTAGAAGTGATGCTTTCCAGGGAGCAATTTGCTGCTCAGTTAGGTTGATAATTGACAACCTCCACCCCTGTTTATTGATTTATCTGTAAGAACAAAGTACATACATTGTAGCTTATAGTATAACTGTTAAGGTAAAAAGGCTTTTTCTAATAAAAAGGAAATGCAGCATTTCCTTAGAAAGATCCTCTATTACTGCCTGATGTTCTTACTTCCTACTTTCCTAGGCCTAACTAGGTCAGAAACTCTAGTCTACCATCAATAACATAGAACACCACAGAAAAAACAGTTCACAGAATAATCCCAGACCTCTTGCTCTGTGAGTAGACTGGTTACTTTGGCTGTCTTGCAAAATATTTATGCTGGCCTTGCAGCATAAGTCCCAGAAGCTTGTAGGACTGCATGTTTTTCTGACTACAGCATTTGTTATGCAGAGTAGCAGCTGCAATGAATTGGGAAATGTACACACAGAGAAAGGCCCAATGGCATGGATCTACTAGGAAAAAAAAAGCTTCCTATTCCCTCAGATCCAGGTCAGACCTGGCTCTTTCATGTGTGTTTTTCTTGCAAAAACTATATTGGTAAGCTATTGGTAAGATGAGTCCATCCCTTATCATTCTATCCCACCAGTTTTAGAGAAGATAGGCTTAAAAGATAAAATGAAACAAACAAGCTCTGATCACAAGGTATTATGAGGTTACAAAGTAATTTCATCAAGAAAATGATAGCATAGTACTTCCTTGCTGTGACATACATGATAGAAAAGTGTCATTTAAGTGTGACCTAATAATTTTTTAGTTTGATATATTGTTCTGAATGAAAAAGATGTAATAAAAACAGACAATCAAAAGAACAAAATATCTACATGAATTGGAATGGTGATACATCTGCCTAGAAGACAACCACAAGAAGTTATCACTGCTCGGACCCACCTATTGTTTGCTACTCATTTGACTTGTGTTTTTAATTGTGTTCCTGTCCTGCAAAGGGCTTAGCAGCCAACAGGCCAATTCCAATCCCTTGCAACTGAGGATGTTTATATATTTTGTCTACTATGGTCTTCAACCTTCGAAGGGGAGCAGGGTTATGGATCCATATGTATGTATCCATACAGCCTTTTGACCTTCCTGAACCAGCTGTCCTCAGTGTGTTACACTAGGTTATTACTACTACAAGAACTAATAGTTCAGAATACCACTATTAGGATTCTCTTCTACCCAGCAATCAAGGCTGATCACACAGATTCCAAGACTTGTATGCTTGCATCATGGAGAGAAAATCTGAGTAAATACTCACGTGTGTCTTCACATCACCTTCAAGAATCCTGCTGTACCTGAGAAACTCAGCAACACTTCCATTCAGCAGCCTATCAAAGGCTTCAACATATGGTGCTATGCCTATAGAAGAAGAGCATTCCATTATAATGGGCTCATAAAGTACGTAATGCATAGGACATTCCTTTGTAGCAGATGAAGGAGAAATACCATATAAACGGGAAATTGCTGTAACTTAATTTCTGCCATACTCATTGATTTGTGACATCAGCGAAATAGGATGTCTAATGAATTTCTCCTAGCTAGAAAAAACCCTGCTCTTGGTAGAACTTGGCTAGGAACATGAAGAGAATTTACTCTGTATAGAGTAGTGGGAAGCCTCTTCTGTCTTACAATGACAGGTGCTAAAATAAGTATTTCTCAGCCCTTCAAAGATCTAGTGGTCTGATAAGCATGACTGTCTTAACAAAACTCTGCTGTTGCACGTAAAACAAATATTATCTCCTAAAAAGAATCTGTACTGTACTGAACAACCCACCCATTCCTGAAGATCTTTGCATTGTTTGGTGAGTTTTAGTAGCAAGCAATTACATTTCCAGTTAGATAAGAGTCTTCAAAATAGGCCGACAGTGGATTTATGCAGTGAAATGTGGCTTTGTCATCTCCTTACTTTGTTGTCTGACCTTGCAAAACTGCCACTGGATAAAGAGAGCTCAAATGAGTCCTCTAGATGACACATCCCATTGACTATATATGCTACATATTCTAACAGAGGAATAAAAATGCTTTTTTCTCTATGGTATACAGAGCAGTTTCCTGACAAGGTGGACAATCAGTTTCTTATGCACCTGGCTTCTAAAAGGCTTCATGTGGTACCTTTTAAGACAGCAAAGGTAATCTTCCCTTGGATGTTTTCCAGCCCTCCTTTACTCCCTTTATGTCTTTTCTATGCCTCAGAACCTTTGCCAGGTCCAGCATGAGCAATGCACATGTGAATTTATGGCATCTGTAGGATCTGAGAGACCAAGGTTAAAATTCTTCCCAGCCTCTCTTCCTCATTAATGAAGCTTGAAGATTGCTCTGAAGAGGTACCAGGCTTTCCCCCAAGAGTTTGCTTTAACCTTTTGGCACTATATGACAATTATGTCCAAATTCATAATCTTGAAAGCCCTCTTTATTCCACAAGAGTCATCTGGCTCCTTGACAGAAAAAAGAAAGGCTCTGGCAACTGGAGTTTGCAATGGCCTGTGTGAAAAAAAAATGTAGTTAGTCAGCTAGGCGGGATTTCAAGGCTCCTTTTGTTCTCTTGATGTCACTCACCTTCAATTCTGAGGAATTTCTGGGCTTTCTTCCATATTAAGTGTTTGTGTGTAAAACCCTCAAATGACCTAGTGTACAAAAGGTTTTAGCTGTGGAGATACTTTCCAAAGCCTGTTTATGTTCTTTGTCAAAATCTGTGTATGTCTCCAAGAGAATCACTGTAATCTTTTACTTTAGAGCTGAGTTTTAAATAGCAGTTCACTAAATGGCAATTGTCCTATGCAAAACTAGAAAGCAACTATGCTATTTTTTACTATTCAATACAGCTAACTCCCAGGAGCACTTACTAGAATTTGCTGTGGGCTGTGCACAGCAATTGAATGATTTGTTTGCAATCCTGCCTTTGCAATGCCATTTAGGAAAACAGTAAAGGTACAGTTCTCCCAATAATCAATTCTATATTAATTAAATAATAATTCTAATTATGGAATGATCATTTAGGAGAGGGGCTTATGGCAGAAATAAGAAACATATCTCCATTTCCACTAGAGACTTTAAAAAGGTCACACTCTGGCTGAGTGTCAATTTTAAAGGAGAGAAAGAGACTTGTTTTGTAAGACTGTCAACTCTGCAGTTGCTGTGGATGTTACGTGAACCTCTTCAGAGGCACACTAGCACAGGCATACAGAATGATATTTGTGGAACTATATGTGTATCAGTCGCCCAAACTGAAGAACAGACACAGTCTTTCCTAACTGCATCAGCAATAGCTAATTTCCAAGTCCCTGTGTGAAACAGCTCTACCTGGAGATGTGGTGCAGGCTGGCAAGTGCCCCATAGTGCTGCTCATCTCAGTTTCTTACTGCAATCTCCCAGTGGGTGTGTTTTAAAACCTCACTCCAGTAAGGGTTGTCAGGTGGTTTCTTCTAGGGAGCTGTTGGGGTTTTAAGGCTGTGCTTCCCTGTGGAGTGAATCTTTTCACCTGACTGAGCTCGTAGGTTAGGCCAAGGATATACCAATTTTCACGGAAGTACCTCACATGATGAGTTTATCTCCTGTTCTGAAGAGCAGTACTGAGCTCTGGAGTAATAGACATGCACCTAAATGCACCTCATTGTAGAACTGAAGCCTGTATTTTTTAAAAATGTAGATTTCCTAGCAGTGATTGATTTGTCAGTTTGTACATGGATCGTGTCTCTCCATGACTTTGCTATGGTTTGCTATCTGTCTAGGTTTTCTCTGGACTGTAAGCATTTTATTACTAACTCATGTGCTATGGAAGCCTGCTGGAAGATGCTCCCTTCCTGCTACAGAAACATGCTGCTTTCAGCCAGCTGCTCTACAGCAGCTGCTGGTGTATAGGCACATGGTAAACACAACTTTGGGGAAGGTTCCTCGCATGTGTTATTGGATAAAGGCTGGCACACAGGGACAATAAAGCTGCTGACATATACTGACTTGCTTCTGTGTCACTAAGGGAGCTGCCTACAACTTTCTGCTTGTTCTGCAGCTTCTGTACAGCAACTGAGCCTGTGCTGGGATGTGCTGTTCTCTGGAGAATGCATGAAGGGCCAAGGAATACAGAAAGCAAAGGACATGAATCTAGTAAAAGGATATATTTTGGGGTTCTGGGTGAAAAAACAAGCTCTGGAGAAAGGAGAGGACACTATTGAATCAACATTGTAACTGCCATGTTTCTAACGTTATTTACCCTGTAGATTTCAGGAACAACAAATTCAGGAGTGAAAAAATATGATTTGGGGATGTGATGTAAATAAATGAATTTTCTAGGCTATATCAATTTAGAATTATACATACAACTAAGCTTGTCACATGGCTTTTCTAAATTCATTTTTAAAATACTACTTCCTTTTGATACAGAATTTGTAAGGGGTGGGGATTACACTCCCTCTTAGAAGACAAACTTGAGTGCTACTTGCAATTTTTTGATAACAGAGAGGTGGTACTTCAAAAAACCAGACTTACTTCCATTGACTCCATTGATGGCATCACACTCCATTCCACCAGATCTGTGTGAGTCTGAAAATAGTGATTCAAGTCGAGTCACTGCTTTCTCCAGTCTCTCCATCAGACCATGAGTCTCTGCCATTCTGAAAAAAAAATAAATCATTAAGGATAAAACCAGTGTTAGGTGCCTCTGAGAAAAGCTAAAGCTTTAGTTCATGTTACAGTCCTGTTCATCTTGGGGCTTTATCTTTATCAGCTTTTATGGTAAAACTTGTATTTTTGAAGTATTGTCTTTCTGGCATATAAGCAGCTGCAGTGGAGCAGCTGACGTATGGTAACTTGCTTTGTCAACAGGGCATATGATCAGCACTCAGCCCCTGTTTTTCATTGCAAACTGCAAATTCAAAACACTGCTAGCGTAGCTTTGGGCAGTCTATATGTGGACAATTCATGACAAATGTCTGTGTATGCTCCCAATCAGATATTGAGATGACTGGAATATTTATAAATATAACTGGTAAAAACTTATGTCCACAGTGATTTACATCAGTTATTTACAGAGGCAAAAATACAGACTCAATTAATTCTTGACTGAAAGCCAGACTTTCAGTGTATATTTCCTGATTTTTTAAAAGATACATTCTGAAATTTGCCTCGGTCTTTTATGCTTTGTAGTAAGACTCCCACAAGAAGCCAAGGTGGTTTTCTGTTTATTCTGATATGATTTCCCATCACTTCATTTTTTTCTAAGGAAAGTACCTGATGTGAATCAGTGTTTCCCAAGGCTTTTAAATCATGCAATAATGACCTTTTGGAAAGAAGAAAAATAATCCAGGGGCTTGCTTGTACAGTACTGCTACAGTGCTTTTGATTTAAAATTAAGTAGAAATTAGGTTAAATTTTTAGCAACGCACACATTGCTTTCTTTGCCCACAATGTGATTATCTGCTCTTTTATATGTGAGGAAGTGTAGGCATTGACATTTTTGAATACCGGCCAATGGCTCAGGGAACACAGTGCTATCTATATACACCTCAGACGGAGAAACGGTTATGTAAGCAAAGACAAAGCTATGTTTAAATCCCTGGTCATTTAATGTATAAGTTTAACATACATGTTTCATGTTCCTCACTTAAGGTTGTGAGTGTTTTATTCTGCTAACCGACATAGAGTAAGCGGGGGCGGGGGGGAGAGATGATTTGTGGCTCTTGATTAACATGATCCTTGTGAATGTCTCCAGCTCAGCTACCACACTACACTACATCCCCTGCCCAGCACTGGGGTGTGGGGGCAATGGGGCAACTTGCATTCCCAGCTGGGGCATGCAAGTAGTGGAGTCCCTACCCACAAGATACGGATTGCTGTATGGCTTGTAGACTAGAAAAGCTGGAATATATGTGTAAATTCATAAACTATCCTGCTATACCAAAGCATAATAGTAGATTCCAAGAAACTGTGCAATACTAGCAACCAAAACAAACATTGCGGCTTCAGTGTCCCCATGCTCAGGGGAGAATCAATCATAGAATAGTTAGGGTTGGAAAGGACCGTAAGATCATCTAGTTCCTAAGTACTATAATTAAAAAGTAAAGTAACATGAAAAGAAAGAGGGTTTTTTACAAATTAGTATTAATAAATCTTATGCATAAAAATAGTAATAGTAATTTTATTTTTAACATGTACATGTGAGAAAAGATTAGCTACTAGGACTATGGAAGCACATGCAGAGCTCTTGCAGAGTCATGATGCCTGTCAAACAAGGTGGGACCTTCAGATTTCACCCTATAAATATAATGAGGTTTGTGTTTGACCTAAAAGCGAAGCAGAAGATTTTAGTGAGAAACCCTTTGGAGAACCATTCTCATGAGAAAGCTTTATCTGGAATTTATGGGGTTTTCCTATTTACATTAAACAGAAAGCAAACCCACAAAAGAGGATGACATCAGACAGTGTGCCTATAAACACTGTCAAAATTCAGAGGGGCTCTCACATTATCCAGTTTGAAAAATCAATGA